ATTAATTACTTTAGAACTTTAAATTTGCATAAATTCCTACTTGAGAATGGAGTCTTATTGAATTTCGGAGATGATGATGTAAATCTGATTTAGTATTTATTTGCCTTTTCCATAATAACCACCATTACATTATTAATTTTATAAGAAAATGTGAATTAGACTGCGAATCTACAGAAACTCGTAGAGAAGTTCTATAAACCCGCATTCAGCAACTATTACACAGACATGACTTATCGCGACGCGATCATACGTGTTGAAGATGTTTGCCATAAGAGACATATGCATGTATGTAGAGTAATAGATTCTTGGGCAAATTATTTTTCATGTTTTATTCTAATTTTTTTTTACAGGCTTACTATCATACAAGAATGGACGAAGATCAATTTTGATGATAATGACGAGCTCTTCTATTTCTTTTTGTACAGAAGCAGATTGATCATCGATAGATTCCGAAAAAAAAAGAAGAGGAAAAAAATTTTTTGTCATGAATCTACGAAGGCGCCTTGAAAAAATCCAAAAATGGACTGATGCGAAATGTTTCGTTTCGTGTAGTCATACCTCTCTATAAGAACATGGTCGGGAGACCAAAAAAAACTTGGTTCTTATAAAAATTTATAATTATGTTCTTAAAAAAATTTTAATATACTTTATAATAAGTTTGATTTTGAAAAATTGCTATAAGAATTTGTTCTTATATAAAGGGTTCTTGTAGAGAGGTACGACTGTGTTATAATGATTCAAATTTTGAGCCAAGGCATGCTAGTGTATTTAGCGAATTTATACAAAACTTAATGCGTGTCTTCATCAAAAAATAAAAGCAATATAATCTCTCTAGCCAGTAGCATCAATCTATATATTAATTCGCAGGTTACCATAAATGTTCTACCCAGATCTCCATTCATCATAATGGAACGGCATATCTCATCTATTTCATATTTTCATATCATTCTTGTCGATGATATTAAAAAAAAAGTCCAAATAATTCTTTATCATTATATCAACAATTTTTCATTTCCTTATTATTAATTCAATCAATCAGTACCCTCTCGAATCTGCCGTCCAAATTCCAACAAAAACGGGCCGACAGTATAACCATCCAATTTGTCAATCCCAATCAGCTGATTGAAAACGGGTTTCAATGTCTCGTGTAATGTATCGATCTTTTGCTTCAGTAACTCATTGTCGTTCGATATTGTTTTTAGTAGGTTCTTTTTTTGATCTGCTTTACCTTTCAAATCGTTGATTTCGCGTTGTAATCGTTCTTTTTCGTCTCTGAACTCGCGTTCGTATCCAAGCAGTCGTTTGTATTCTGATTCTTGTGCTGTGTATTGTTTGATGACGATTCACTTTATTATATACGAGTAAAATAATTAGAAATGTACTATTGGATAAATGAAACCAATTACCTTCATGAAATTCTTTAAATGAGTCCGAGAAAATCGGGAATGGTACAAATAGCTTCTTTAGAGATAAACTATCTGGTATTTAATTGGGAAGAAGGACGCGACTAAATTAGTTTATATATATGTCCGTTTATTCAAAGCTCATAAATGACACTAATAAACCGTTCGAATACGAACCTGGCTCAAAAACCCCCGCTACAGAATTCCCATTGCGCTATGAAACATGAATTTTGAAAAAAATCAAATTTTTTTGCAGAACATAAATAACATACAATAAATTCTGGAGATTAATACCAACTTTAGGCATCGCCTCGCTCGATGTCTCGCCATTTCCCACTATCACTTGTGAAGAATGCCCTACATTATGCGACGACGACGCTGTTTTTCGTATTTTTGCTGCAGACACTTTACCTAATTGAGAACAAGTATTAAAAAACAATGTTTCATTTCTTAAAGATTAGCCAAACGAATTCATATTTTCATACAAAGTACCTTTTCTTACTCCTCTTCCATTAGTCGTGGGTGTAGCCTTTTTCCCATTACCACGTTTACGTTTACCATGCGGTGTTGTAGTATACGAAGAATCGGAACGGTCTATTTTTAATTTGTAAAAATTTTCTTGAATAAGTTAATCGTGTTATAACGTAAAGAGTTTACATAGATCGAGTTTGTCATGCTTGTCATTATTGAAGAAAGATGGTTTATTTACCATCGGACGAAGACGAAGACGAAGTGTCGCTATTGTCGTCGTCTTCTTCACCGTCAAGATTATTCGGCACAAATTCTCCGTCTGAATCGTCTTCAGAAGATCCAAAATCTTCGTTTAGCCACTCTGCCATTCTTAAATTTTCAAAGGTTATTTTAATTACAGAGGGAAATGCAATTCGCGAAATAGCCAAATATATTTATGGGGTGATGATTAGCCACCCTTTTTTATTTTGGTGCAACCGAATTCAAGACTATGGCGTCCGACGAATAATTTTATTATCATACCAAAATTAGTAACTATAAAGAAAGGGATATAACGAAAAAAAATTTGGGAAATTATTCGAGACCATGAATGTAATAACCCAAAAAATTTAACTTTATATGTAATTAGATAACTTCAAGTATGATTTATTTCGATAAACTATCGCTATTTTATTTTGCGTAATTTTATGTCTGATCATTTAGTTACAGATAAATTATTATTTTATCAACCAAAAGTTGATATCTGACAAGAAAAATTTGAAAAATTTCCAAAATCTTTTTTATTCCTCAAATAAATCCATATTTTTCTGTGGCAAATATAATAGTAATTACAATTGAGTATACGACTATAGCAAAATTAAATAAAAATTAAAAGTAATTTAATACAAAAGAAGACACTCACATTAATAATTCCATCAATGATCTTATCACTCATGCCCGAATATCGTAAATTATATATCTATTAAGAATCGCATTAATGTGATAATTCAATTAACCATCTTAATGGAAAACTAGACCCAAATTTTTACCTCACTTATATGACCATTCTCTTTAATAAACTGATGTATAACATCAGCTCTTTTCTTCCCAACACCTTTAAGTTTTAAGATTTGCTTTACATCACCAGAATTAACAATACTCAAAATCATTGCCTCGGCTATTTTCCTTCTTTCATCGTTCGCTATATTAGCCAAGTATCTCGAATGATGATCTTTAGCCGAAATTTTTGATCCAGCATTTAAGTTGTTAATCTCCTCAGATGATGTTGCTTTTTCATTGTCATTGTCATCCTCACCGTCGACCTCGTCGTTCCTTTTTCTTTTTTTCGGTTTCAATCCGTTGCCATTACGTATTGCATCTCTTATCATAATAATTTTGTTACCGAGTTTCTGATTGTCAGGAATATATTGGAATGCTAATGGCAAAATTGGAAGGAATAGCTTGTATTGATCTGTAACTTTTTATCCATATTAATAGTAGTAGGCAGGGACATACACATACCACTCTCGTAATTACTCAACGCCTCTCCCAACTCGTTCTTTAGTTCATGCGCTTTAGCGAGTGCAACCAACGCCCGCGCTGTTTTAGTTTTTGTCTCTGGCGTGAGCACATTTGCCAACCGCGATTCTTTTTGCAACTCTCTAAAAATAATATCCTTTCTCTCAACTTATCATCTATTTTATAAATGTACGCACAAAAAAAAAGGTTTGAACATACATTTTATATTCCAGAGATTCAATCCGTTTTTTTAGTTTGGCATTTTGTTTTCGAAATATTGGACTAAAGAAACGATATGAATTTAATTAAACAACAGATTGGGATATATGTATGGTGAAATTAATTATTAATTACCTACCTTAATATTTGTGATGATTGTGTTTTTATTTTATCCTCAATCTCACTTAATTTCTCGTCCAACTTTGTCTCTATTATCTTTTCCATTTCGGTTTTTGATAGCAGCGGAGGTCGCAGTTCATACGAAGCTGTTGATGAAATTGTAGATGTCGATGATGATAAATCTGGCATTTCAGGTATCATCTGCGGTGGTGGTGGCGGTGATGGTGATGGTGTTGAATAATTATAATTACTCAAAGGAGAAAATGATGATGATAACGAAGATGATGTTTTTGCTGCTGTTGACTTTGTGGGCATCATCACATCATAACTATATCTATCCATCCGCTCGAAAAGAAAATTCGTTTTTTTCTTATCAATGGGGTCACTGAAACGTTGACGCCTAGCTTCCGGCAAGTCATTATTCTCGTTCACGAGTTTGACTTTTAGAGGTTGTCGCGTACCTGATAATTAGGTTAATCAGTCAATGGTATTATTTAAATCGCGTGGTCTCTTTTAGACAGCAAATTAAGATCTTTACTTGAAGCACAATGATTTGATTGTGGTTTATTTTCGATTTCTTTGGTACGCGTCGCAAAGTTTAATGTGCTATATTAAAGAATCCAAAATTAATAACATAAAATAGCGATTTATATATGTTTGGGTGTCTTATTGGTGCTTACTTGTACGTGTCAGCATAAAATGACTAAAAATTCCGATAATTAGTTTTATTCAATACGACAACTCAATATTAAACGATCATAAAAAGGAATCTGCTAATACCTGTCCGGGTGAGATATTGATTATCATCATGCTAATGTTTTCGCCGCCTAAAGAATCCTAGAATCGATATAAAATAAAAAAACTAAAAGCAATTACATGATATAAAAAACAAGCACCGCACAAGAACCGTATTTACCTGCAGCAATCGTGTTAATTTTGAATCACGATACGGAATTCTCGACTTAACAAATAAAATAAAATCGATAGGTGATCATTTAATATGATAAAACGATGCGGGTAGGTGTGTATGACGGAACGGATGTAGTGCGCTACTCACCAACCCTTGATTCAAGGCCTCAACAACCTGATTCAACGCAAACAAACTCTTGTTTATTGCGCCACTTTCCGCGATACGTTCTTTACCATTCTCTGTTCGCCTATTATCTTCGGATCCAGCCAAATCAATTAAATGTAGTTTGCTGAATATGGTATTTTTGGTTTCATTATTTGTGCAGGAAATCTAGCCGAAACGATTATAATAAAAAAATTACATATATGTGTGTGTGTCAACTATCAATTTTAAAATGTGTAATAATTTGATAATCAAAACATGCATACATAAATACACATATCAGCGTGAGAACGACTCGACATGATATTTAACTTTGTAGCAGCAGTAGAGCGATTTCTACAGGCACCTCTAAAGATTTTGGTTTACCAGTAAAAAAATGATGCATAAAATAGATAAACTTATAAATGTGTTTTTATATTCACCATACCTGAATATCTTCTTGAACTCTTCGTATGTGTTGATTTTTTTCTACGAAAATATGCTTTTAATGTTTGTAAACATAATTGATTAAGCTTCAAGTAAATATAAAAGAAAAAAAACCTCGGTAAGATTTGGCAGATAGATTTGATTATCAAATCCTTGTCGTATAGTAAGTCCTCCGCTCGGCGCCTAAATAAAAATAGCACATTATTTCTGTTATTATTATGATTTTGATAATAATCGCTTCATCGAGGGGGAAATAACGATATACCGTATCCCTAGGCACCAGTAGGTCATTGATCACTTCTTTATATATTTCAATGTAGGAAAGACGCAAGTCTAACGAGTATTTAGATAACCCTTTTATTTCAAAAAGGGTTTGCACGGTCCTTGGTATTATTCCTGGACGCGTTTCGGTTCCTTGTATTGTATATGTTTTACCCGAACCAGTCACCCCATATGCAAAGATGGTGGCGTTCTATCAGAACAGAAAATATTAATTCTCATTTCGACGATACAGTGAATAAAGATTTTTCGAAATTCCAAATCAAAGGATGTTAAAGATACCTTTCCATTGAGTACAGGCTCCAGTAAAGGCTTCACATCATTTTCGAATATCTCAGGTTGACCTGCATCCATGCCATAGCACGAGTGAAAACTGGAAAATTCGTCACACGCCAGTGTTAATGAACGAGATTCGAAAATTGAATACAAAATTTGTAAAAAGAGTCTAACCTATAGACAAAGTTTTCATTAGTCTTTCGCTTGTTGGTAATTTTTACGCAATTTCCCTCCACCATTACAGTATCATCATATAATTCCTCTGCCAAGAACGGTCTTACTCGACAAATAACTTTTATTTTTTGTGGTGGTGGTAGTTTTTTTCCTCGCTTTTGGGCTGGGGAGTACATGGTTATAATGAATCTACAAAACTCGGAAGAAAATTAGTATTTATTATTATTATTATTATTATTACGCGTCGCGACAACTTATGTCGATCATGAATTCATGAATTGCATAACGCAGATGGATCTGATTAGATTTTATTTGTGCATACACAAGATTTCTTGATAAGAATAAACAGAGAATAAAAATTCTTTGTGCGCGTTCAATCATATAAGACTGGTAAGTATTTTTGAAGTACAGTAACCTTCATTTTTCATATTTAAATTTACTGTTATTGAGAAACTCTATCTCTTACCTATTCGTTATTTTGACTCCTAATATGTTATTAATCAATTTTATGGGCTGGGAAACTTGTACTTATTTAGAAAAATAATCATACAAGCATTACAAAAAGTTCATAAATAGACTTTTTAATATATTGGTTTGCTTTTTACTGAGATCTTTCAAATATCTTACTTAATTTATGCTTAAATCATCATTGGTGTATATATATATAAGTGATAATTTCTTTGCTGACAATAATTTCCCGATTCTCGATTACAGAAAACAACAAAAAAAACCAAAAATGGAGAGTTATGCAACCACCGACAGCAGCACAAGTTCTGAAAGAAAATGGCATCATTACCTTCCTTTACATCCTATTTTTAAACAAGACGTAAAGATTGAAAATGATGCAAAAAAAAGTGAGTGACTTGCGCGTAAATCGGAGTCGCAAACCTTTAATGAAATCGTACTGCAAAATAAAAACTTGCGCTAAGATGATTTTATAATAATGATTGTTGTTTGAATAGAATCATCCCCTAAAGTCTTAGAGCGATTACGAGGAAAGCGTTCGTGTATTGTCACAGCCGCGAAACTACTTTTCGTTGCAGTGAGCAATCAAATTCGAGTTTTAAATATATCGGATTTTTATTATGCATGGTTTAAAGCATGTGAGAATGGTGAGCTTGAACAGACGGAAACGTGGATGCAGAATGCAAAATATTTGGTACCATTATTGACAACTTTTATTCGGGAGTCTCTTCCACTTTTTTGATTTTCATATAATCTCATTTCCTTCCGGTAGACACTAAAAACTCAGGCCATCAATTTTCAAATCTACGCGCTTGTCATGAACTATACTGAAAAAAGCAACTTCATAGCCGTAGTAGGTGTCTCGGAATTGGCTGTGGTTAAATTGAACGATGATATTTTTAGTTATTCAAAACAAGATGAGATTTCTTGCACGTAAGAATCTCATGCATGCATGCATGCATTTTATTTTTTTGTATATATTTATTTCGATAGGTAAAATTATCTTTTTTGCATCTTTTAGCACACATTTAGTTGGTCCATTTTATCATGCCGTTGGTGCAAGCCCAATCTGCAAAGTGTTATGGCATCCACTAAGTAGGAATGGATCGCATTTAATGGTATTAACTACAGACGGAAATTTAAGGTAGACAGTTAAAATCATTTGATTATAACATAGTTTCGCATTAATTCGTAAATTCTTGTATAAATAATGTTATTAGGATGTACGATATCTTTACAAACTACAACGAGCCTACACAGGTATTCCAAGTGATCGAATCATCGAAAACGCGCAACGGATATGGTTGTAACCTAGACGATGAGCCCGAGGCAGCTTCTTTCTGTTTTGGACAAAGTTCCGCCAATTTATGGAGTCCTTTTACAGTCTACATTTTGATGAAAAATTCTGATCTATATTCATTTTGTCCGGTCACGCCTGACAAAATGTAAGATCTTCGGTACAACCAATTGGTTATCTATTATGAAAAAGGACAACAGTAACTCTATAACTGAAACTCTATCAAAATTTAGGACTTGTCAAGTATCTCATTTCCAAAAACTAGCCTCACTGATCGCTTCTAATTGCCAACAACTTGCTCTCGGCACCCAAGGAAAAGAAAAAAATGAAGATATTTCCTGGGTGCATCAACGACAATTAGAATGGATTTCCAGAATTACAAGTCAAATTCCCGAAGACTATGAGCCTGATAAAAAAGTGGACATTGATCTGACACCAGATTCACGCGGACAACCGCAACGTCAGGGACCTTATTTACTACAACCGTCCCCGATCGAATTATCGTCGATGGATTGTCCGGATGCTAGCGATATATTATGCTTGAATACGAAGAATATGAATGTGTTCGTGATAGTATTTGAAAATGGCAAAGTAGATATTTGTCTTGAAGATGATAAAGTTCAGGGATGCTGGAAAAATCCGGATCATTTAGTAAGCAATCGGTTTCTTAGATTTCTCCATAAATTTTCAATTAATAAATCTATTTATGGACGATGCACAGGCACAGGAAACCCAATATCCACGGTTAATTGTCTATGAATGTATTGATCTTGGCTTGAGCAAACCATTTCGTCAGAGAACAGCCCTTTCTTTAAAGAACAAAGCTATATTGTTGGATCCGCCAAGTCTTTTACCAGACCTAAATTATCGAGACACATTTTATGTGTATCACGCGGCAGGCGCCCACGCGATAATTATTAGAAAATGGCTGGAAAAGATAAATAGGCTGTTTGACGAAGGTTTATATGATGATGATGATCTGGACGATGAAGACACAAGATCAGAAGTTCGGTGGCTTGCAACTACTAACCCAACGTAGTTTTAGTTATTCGAGAGTTTTTTGTTTTGTCGCATCATCTAATAATGTAATTCATCTCGGTTTATTTTACTTCATAAACAGCTCCACACCTGACCCTATTATCGGTTTTTGCGTAATGAATCACTTGCTGCTGGGATTCTTTATGCTCATAGTTACAGCCAGTGGGCAAATGTGGAGTCACGAGTTAACAACTCGCAAATCAATAAAGCAAAAAGATTTGGAAGATGAAAACACTTCCAACATCCGCGCCACCCCATCCAAATTACCGGTGTACGCGAAAACAGCTATACCTGAATTCATAAGCAAATATTTTTCATATGAAGGATTACCTCGACAACCGCATATTCTTCCTGGGGCTAAATCAAGCCCGTACAACTATCAGAATAGTGAAGCGACAGCGTCAGCCTATCAAAGGCTTATTAATGAGTTTAAGAAAGAGATATTTGAGTTGTTGGAAGGTGTCAGATACTTCCAAGAAAGGTGATCTATTAAGTTGCCGTTTTTGGATATTATTTTATACGTTGTCAATTGCATTGATAAATGATTTATAATCGCCATCAAGATGTATTTCACAAATACAAGTTGTTCAGCGACAACAAAATGACTTGCTCAAACATGAGAAAGATTGCCAGGAAATAGATACTAAATTCAGATACAGTACGATGGAACGCCTCGAGAAAATAAAAGAGCGGCAAGAAGAAATCACTAAACGAGTCAACGTGTTATTTCAAGAATTATGGTATGATCAGCTGTCGGTTGGTGATGATTTTGGGAAAAAGGATGTTCGGGAACTTGGTGAGATAAGTAAAGAGAGCGAGGATGTGAGGCTGAAAGTTCAAAAAGTGTGGTTTTTTGTTTCGTTTTTGATGTTTTGTTGATCAACGACTATGGCAGGCTTATTTTTTAACTGCAAATTTTTTTTTTAAAAAAGCTTGTAGCTCAAAACGATAGTCTGTTAAAAGACTACAAGTTACTCTCATTTCCACATCAAAAAAATGAGACATTCACAAGAAGCGCGCGCACACAACTGCAGAAAGCCGTCTCCGAAGAGTATGTGATCAAGAGCATTTGTTGGTCTAGCATGATTAAAATTCCCACCAGGGAACTAATTCAAATATCATATATTCCATAATTAGGACCAAACTTTTATCAGAGACCAAGGAGAAAGTCGAGGAAATAAACCAGCAGTTGTCCCATTTGGTCATTTCGGGCACCAGTGCTTCGAATAAATAATATTTGATGAGCATGATGATGGTGTTTATTATTTTCTCCAAGTCTATCTATCACAAGCATTTGTTCTATAATGGATAAAAATGTAACCATTTGAGCTGGAGTCAAATTCGTCCGAGATATCCATGTATTCTTATTGAACAGCTTTGAATAATTGCAATCATTTGATGTTTTGTTTTCTTTAATAATAATGTAAAGCTTCGCAAGAAATTAATTAAAAGATGAAATACACCACATCATCCCCCAATGAACTATTTATTACATAATAACAATAAATATTATATAAATTAGAGGATAAAAAAGGGACGTGCTCTATTCTCAAAATTCTTCTTTAACGTGATGATGCTATGTTGGTTTCTATTCTAAACGAGGTAACAACTGAATGAATAATTTACAGAATATAGAGATGGTATCATCCATCACTCGATAAGTAGTGACAACCGTCGATTCAATAAATATTATTTGGCCGCAGTCGTTTCATCTTTTTTTTCTAGCGCTTTCTATTATTAAAAAGATATGCATGAAACCAATTGATTGTGATTAATAATAAAAACGCAAGAGATCTTGATACCTAAAAACTAACCTGTTGTTTTTGTCTCATAATTTCCGCATCGCTGGGTGCATCGTTTTATATGCGTCGTTGAAGTAGTAATAGACATGTGCATATAAGGGGCAGAAAAAATCACGGTAACGATAAATAGTTGAAGGAAAAAAGAAGGGAAAGAAAACGATCAGTCAATATTCACGAAGCAAAATGGATGGATTTCATTTTGTGAATATTGAGTGACATCAAAGTCCATTATATAGAACTCACACTCCTCACCAATTCTTACTAGTCTATAAAAATTCTCTTGCAAATCAGACACCATCAGTAGCAATGTCGCCACTCAAGGCACACAACCCCCACCACACCACTCAATAAAGATATAGAGAAAAAAGAAAACTACAAAAAAAGAGAATTTAAAATAATTTATCTTTAGTTAGTTCTACACACCTTTCAGCTCGCTTTTTGAAGTTAGTCCCATCTTCCTTCTTCTTTGGTTGTTTAGCGTTTTTCTTTTGGTTTTTTTCGCGTGCTTTTTCTCTTTGATTGCCACCTATACAAAAGGAGGAAACCCAAATTCCAGAAGAAAATGAATCACAAGGGTAAAAACGTGAAAAAGAAACAATAACTGACGTTAACCAAACGAAAAGATCACTTACGAGCCATTTCAAAGGCAACAATAACAGAGTAAAAGACGAACTTTTTTTTTAAATATGTAGTGTGATAGTTGAGAGTTGAGCACTAAATGAAGTAGGATTCAAAGATCAGCAGTTAACGTTAACTAATTACTGTTAATCGGACCACCCGAGACACATGACCGGTAAAATGCAATGATTATGCCGATACTGATTCTCTTCGAGAATGCTTTACCATTATCATCATCATCATCATCATCATCATTGAAAACGAAAAGATATCACCTCCAAGTAAATATTACTCATTGACCTCACAATGTATAATCCTGCAAGTCCAACAGGATCTTCCGAGGTTAATTTGTCAATTGTTCAGGTTAGCCAAAACGTAAGAGAGAGGCTGTGAGAGAGGAACATTTTGTTGTGGTGTTCTTATTTGTAGTAGCCTTATTACCTACTAAAAAACTAAAGGGCAAATGTGTGGGGTTGAAAAGTGACAATCACATTACCATCAAGCCTCTTTTTTTCCTTTTTATTTCTACTATTCTATTCTATTGCCATCTGCCTATCTATCTATCTGTCTTGTTGGTTCTTGAATGATGTCTCAGGAGAGTAAAGGTCACCACCTCCACTACCAACACCCGCCTGTAGAAGCGAACTCCTTTTCGTTCGATAATAACGATGACTTGTTGGAAGACGAGCAGGATAGAGCTTTTAATCTTCCGCGAGGTCATGTTCCACAAGCGTATCTTGATTTTTCCAATACGGATGTGGCAAGCATGGATCAACATCTTCCATCGAGCAATATAGGGTATAAGCTTCTTATGAAGATGGGGTGGCAGGCTGGTCAGGGATTGGGAAAGTCTCAGCAAGGTTGGTTTGCATGCTGCGAATAAAATAATGCAAGAGCATTTTTCATACCTCGGTGCTCGATTGATTCCTCATCTCTCATTTTTCATATAGGTCGGAAAGATCCGATAAGAATAGAAACGAAATCTGACAGTTTGGGTGTCGGCAAGCAAGAAGAAGAAGATTATTATCATGTGACTACTACTGCTAAGCGCAAAGCTTTAGATAGCGAGAAGATTGCCGAAGAAACCGAGGCGGAACGTCGGAAGCGAGAGGTTTCCCATTATTTTTTCTGATGAATATTGTTTCAATCATAAATGAAAAGGCAATCCAAGTTTTCTCTTATCATCTAATAGAGCAAAGTCATGAAGCAGGAATCGATTAAAAAAGAGTTAGAAACTATCAATTCTGCATTCTACTGCTCCCTGTGCGATAAACAATATACGAAGATATCCGAATATGAGACACACTTAAGCTCATACGATCATAATCATCGAAAGGTAAATTTTTAACAAACCCATTAATTAAAGTTGTTCTCTAAAACACAAGAGTTTCAAACAAATAAATTTTTATAATACAGCGTTTCAAAGATATGAAAGATCTGAGTCGTTCCAGTAAAATGGATAAGAAACGTGAGAAGGAACGGAAACGAGAAGAAAAAGAGCTGGCCAGAATTCAACAAGCAGCTTTACAAAAGGCAGGAAACAAACAAGCAGCAAGTAGTAGCAGTAATAGTGGATCAAAAACCACAGAGATGACAGGTTCCAAAGTCGATTCTGCGTCAAGTAATAATATCGGAAAATCTGCTGATGATGGCAAATGGAGCTCTTCGTTTAAAGCTACAAGCTGGACAACTGTTTCATCTGTTGTGCCTTCTGTATCGGAAGTTAAAAATGACGAAAAGGGTTCAGATGATGGTGGCTGGACCACTGTTGGTGGAGTTAACAATGGCTGGGCTACTTCACGGATAACCGATGGAAATAGTTCAAGTATTACTTTCAACTCGGTTAATGGAAATGGTGGCTGGAAATCAGAATCTTCGTCAAAATTCATAACATTTAATAAAAGTAAAGGAGATGCTTCGAGCTCGATTAATGGAAAAAATAGTACACAAAGCTCGGGCGGGTGGTTGTCTGTACCGACATCTAATTTTGTTCAAGTAGAAAGTAAGGATGCTGCTGAAAGAAAATCAGCCGAAAAATTTACATCGACATCATCTCCTTCATCTTCTACGTCATTTTCATTTCTAAACTCTTCAAAAACGAGCACATCTTTTAAACAACAAAAAGTTCAAAGAACGGGAGACTCTAAGAATTCGGTAGGTTTTATCATTTAGAAATTTTATAAACCATCTTCTATGTATTAATCTGATTTTATATAATACTTTAATCAAATGCAGAACACGAAACAATCTGCATTCAAATTTGAATTTAACAAAAAATAAATTTCTTTTTTTGACTTTTCTATGCAATTTTTATTTATTGTAATTTTAAAAACAAATAGTAAATTATTTATCATACTCCGGGTATGTTGCACTTAGAACGAGGAAATAGTTATCTTTCTCCGATATTTTATGTAATAAATTATCGATCATATTTATCAACTTTATACAATTCGTAGTATCAAACATAAAGAATTAATAATTTAAGCTTGTTTCGTTGCCTATGTAGGGATCAAAACTTTTATTTGGTTAACCAACAAAGCAATGATAGAATTATATTATACATTATTACATTATTACATTAGAAAAAAAAATCAATAATTATATCATTTCGGAAAAAGTGCCATAATTATAATTCCTAGTGCGACCGGCGGTCCCAACCAAGAAGCCAACCAATGCCATAACTTTGGTTGAACTTTTTTCATCACTCCTATCACCTGTCGCTCCGTTTCCTGCAGCTCGCCTGAATTATCAATGATATAGTCGGCATAATGTACTTTGTCTTTCAATGGCATTTGGGCGGCCATTCTTTGTCGTGCCGCGTTCTCCGATAGATTATCTCGCTTCATAAGTCGCGTTAGTTGTAATTGTTCGGAACTACGTGGATGACGAGGATCACTATTTGTAATTAGTAGTGGTTTTTTTTTGCGATTGTGTATAGATGATGATGATGATGATGATGATGATGATGATGATAACGATAGTAATACACAAATAAATCTTTGATTGATAGTTCTCAATTTATGCGAGAAACGAAAATCAAAGAAAATCACTCATCGTAAATAAAGTAACTATTAGCCGAGCACCTCTCCAATCAAAAAATGACACATCCTTACCAATATACAACAATGATAGAGCTTAGGTACTTATGATAACCACCTTCAATCAACAATGGCAAGTCCAACACCGCCATTCGTTCTCCAATAAACCAATACCACATCAACGACTTCATTATCGACCGATAAATATATGGATGCGTGCATTTATTCAGGATTTTCCGTTTCGATTCATCTGCGAATATAATGTCTCCCAGCTTCGCTCGATCGAGTGTGCCATTCTCCAGTAGTATATCACGCGAAAAGTGTTTTACTATTTGATTGTAGGCGGGTTTGCCGGGCTCGACTACTTCTCGAGCTACTTTATCCGCATCTATCAGTGGTATCCGAAGACGTTCTATCATTCGGGAAACTGTTGATTTTCCTTAAATGTGTGTATTAGCCAGTTTATTTTATGTATAGATTATTAATGTTGAAATTTTTGAAATCGTTGCCGCCATTGTAAAAAATTAAAATAGAAAAGGGTGTAATGATATAATGTCAAAACTAAAATTGTCTGTGTCACTGCGATATAATTCTTCTCAATTATATAAAAGAGATTTATTAACTACCAGACGCAATACCTCCGGTTAAACCGATTATCTTCATTGGTATTATGGTATTTTAAGTATTTAAAAAAAATTTGAAATTGAGACTACAAAAACAAAATGTTGATCGTACGACGAACCAAATGACATTAATCTGGTCACCGGTCCTAGTCGCATGTTAGCAAACCAATGGGAGTTTAGAATTAATAATATAATTTTAGAGGTTCCATTTCCCATTAAAATCATCACGTTTATTGTTGGCGTTACCGTCAAGACTGCCGAAATTCCCAATTTCCGTTCTTATTTCTCATTATCGATTTCTTGTCTCTCCGAGGGGATATGTATGACGGGATGCACGTCACGATCTCGAAGGTTTTTATATGCAAAATGTAATAAATATAATGCAATTCAATAAAGTTTTACCAAACCGAGTTAATGCACCAGACCATAAACCAATTTAAATTTATTATAAACAATATTTTTGAGTAATATCTGAATAATGTAATAACATTTCCTTGGTTAATCGTGGTCGAACTGTCATCAATGCAATGAGAAAATGATTCATGTTCTTCAAAATAAAAAGAAATTAATTCATTTGTGAATATGTAATATAAGAAAGTTGATATGCCATATAAATTACCACTTTATTCGCTGCATGACGTTGTCTTAACGCAATAATTGCTGCTTCACGGCACACATTCTTCAAATCAGCACCCGTATACATTTCAGTCTAAAAAATAAAAATATCAATTAATTTCCTATTTTGCATGCTAGAAATATAATGTTACAATTATAATTAAAATTTACTCTTTTAGCTATGGAATCAAGATCAAAGTCTTCGCTTATTGGCATATTAATGGTGTGAATTTTCAGTATTTCACGGCGTGCTTGTAAATCTGGAGGTGGAACCTGTAAATTTAAAATATCTTTAGTTTTGATGCATAATAGGAAACAAGAATTTGTTATGGAAAAACCAAGCATACATATAATAATTTATCAAATCTGCCCGGTCTTAATAACGCAACGTCCAATAAATCTGGTCGATTTGTTGCCCCCTTAGAAAAATATCAGAAAGTTAGTCTGCCTCGTGAATAATCAAAGATTTAGAGAAAACTGCATTTAAAAAATTTGGATAATTACCACCACAAGTACAGAAGTTGCTAATTCAATACCATCCATTTCATTCAAAAGCATTGATAAAACTCTTTCTTGCACACTATCTCCATTGCCATCAGCACCTTCATGACTTTCTCCCATTGACCGTTTTCCAACTATCGCGTCAATCTCATCAAAGAAAATTATTGATGGAGCAGTCGAACGAGCACGTTGAAAAATAATTCGGACTAATTTTTTTAATTTAGTCAATATTAGAAGATAGAATATTACGCAAATATTCATAATAATTCACTTACTATTCTTCTCAGAATCGCCGAGATATGAGGAATAAAGTTGTGCACCATTGATTGAAAAAAAAGTTGCACCAGAAGTTGAAGCCATCACTTTTACCAGGGTTGTTTTACTACATCCCGGCGGACCGTAAAGTAGAATTCCACGGGGAGGTTTCAAGCCCAACCGTTCGAAAGTTTTACGATGTTTAATTGGCCATTCGATAGCCTGTTGTAATTTCTAATGGCGAAAAAAGATTTTAGTGCGAAAATGTCGAAAATTTTATTATTTACTTTTTTTTTACCTTTTTTACATCTTCAAGACCTCCGACATTTTCCCAGTTAGTTTTTTCGACATCAACATGGAATCCACGTTGCATGGATGGCCCAACACAAGATAATGCCGTCTTAAAATCAAGCATTGTTATTGGGGTGAGATTGACGAGAGTATTTCTACAAATTAATTATTTATATATTTTATTGATTTTATAGTTATTAATGCTTTATATACCTTTTCTATACCTTGCAATATTGTGTCGATGTATTGCACTCATGGCAGCTTCTCTGCATAATGCTGCTAAATCAGCACCGACATATCCATTAGTCAAAGATGCCAACTTCACTACAAAAGTAAAAATAACTTTAATTATTAATAATACGTAGAAATGAATTATTTTGATTATGAATAACCCTTACAAAGATCAACGTCATTGGCCAATTTCATGTTTTGAGTTTGTACCCTTAGAATCTTTAATCGCGTTTCTTCGGTTGGCACGTCAATTGCAACTTCTCGATCAAATCTTTATTATAAAAATTAGCTCTGTGACAATATACCATGATAATTGAATTTATATTAACCTTCCGGGTCTTCGTAATGCGGGATCAATTGCATTAGGACGATTCGTTGCGGCAATAATGACTAATCTTCCACGCGATTCCATGCCATCCATCAGCGTTAAAAGTTGTGCAACAACGCGTGATTCATGAGATTGTGATTCTGTTCGATGTGGAGTCAACGCATCCTTAATTGAAAATTATATAAGTTTATGATAAAGCTTTTATTATAATATAATTCAATATACAAACCACTTCATCAATAAATAAAATAACTGCACAATTTTCTTCTAATGTTAAACGTTGAGCAAACGTAAATTTTTCTCGAAGTTTTGTCTCACTTTCCCCGACGTATGAGCCATAAATTTCGGGACCATGAATTGTAATCTGAATATTATTTTTTGCAAAGATTAAAATTGATTAATAAATAATATTTGAATAAAATCATGAAACCAACCATTTTTGCGTCACAGATCTTTGAAATTGTAGACACGAGATAAGTTTTTCCGACTCCAGGAGGACCGTATATCAATACACCTGTAAAAATAACCCCCCCCCGAAAAAAATCGTCATAAGACAAATGAGACAAATTTGTATTTGGGTATACGAGTATTTTAACAAAAACATTTTAAACCTTTAGGACACTCGATATTAAGTTGACTTAATAAATCCGGATAAAGTAAAGGGTAACTTATCATCTCCAAAAGTGATTCATATGCTTTCTCGAGGCCTGGTATGCTTGATGGAGTTATTAATGTCTTTTGTGGAATGACTGAGGCTTTTAAAGTGGCTATTGATGTATCTGTTGATTTTATTAAAGTATCTTGTAATGATAATGATGCTACCGAAGAAATTATTTGTTGGATTGAATTTTCATCATTTTTACTAGACATATTGGATAATTTATATTCATTGGAAATTGCTATTTTTGTGTCAGCTTCAACTGAAGCTTCGCTATTCTTTTGAGAAACGATCTTATGAATCTTTAATATATGATTTAGTTAGTTATTAGCGTTGGGAATTTTTTGAATTACTTATAAATTTTAAAGTTACTTTAAGTTTTAAGCAACGTCTTTCATCATGAATTATGCATCCTTCGCAAACTATAAATCCTTTTAACATCGATCGGATGGTCTTTGATAATGAAAAAATCGTGATACATTAAAATTATGATAAGTAATACATATAGTAAATTTTCATTGAAAGCTTACATTTATCTGAACTTCTTCATTTCCACTATTCCAAACAAACCCGAGATCATTTAATTGTAGTTTTTCACTCATCTGTAGTTCTTTAATCTCATCGTATTCTCTACTTTCCATAGGAGGAATTATCTCGACCGAAACTATTATTTTGCGTGCGATATCTATTGGATACTTAAGAGGTCTAATCAAACCTATCATTTTTATAATTATTATTATTATTATTATTATTATTATTATTATTATTATTATTATTATTATTATTATTATTATTATTATT